CACTGCATCAAATCTTTTCAACAAAGTCAGACCTAACTATAAATCTAAAGGCTTTTAACTTTTTTCCTATTTCTTATATTTCTATAACTTTTTTGGTTGTAAAAACCTGTGATTCTTTTTCCCATGGGAAAAACACAAAATATGCAATATTTTCCAAAAATGAGGTGCAAAGTGTAACATTTGACATACAAGGTCAGTAATTAATAACAACATTGACTTTGATGCAATATTTTTGCAGAAATTACAGTTTATTCAAAAACCTTACATCTATAAGGTCCAAAATGGTCCCTCTCTAAAAAGTCCAATAAAACTGTCATGTATAAATATATTTTTGTTAATTCTACTGCGTTAAATCTTTTCAACAACTTTAGACATAACTATCAATATAAAGTTTTTATTTTGTATTTTACATGAAATTTAAAAAATACTATTACCAAACAATTACTGCTCAAGTTTCATGAAATTGGTCTTTAAACTGACTGATATATTGAGAATAAAAGAAATAGCAAATAAGCATAATGTACATGTTCAATCCCCTGAGGATCTTTGAGGGTTAAAATGTCAACAGAACCATGAGAACATATTCATTTACAAGTAGAGATTGAGATTAAATTAAATATATACATATTTTAGCCAACACTGAGATTCAAGTGCTCCAGTAAAATCTTGCCTATGCTTAGTGAGTCAATTATAAATATAGATGCAACAACATTTAAGACGTCTTTTAGTGTTATGATGCAACTTAAAGCCAATAAAAATCCACTGAGCCATTTACTTGTTCAAAAATAAAAAAATAAAAATCACTCTTTCTTTTGTTTGTCCCTTTCTAAAGTTAATTAGAAACACAAACAGAAATCTGGTTTACATGCTCACATGGCTTCACATGTATTTTTGGTAAAACAGCAGAACCCAGAGATGGAAAAATATAACGTACTGGTAGGATTTCATGACAAATGAGTATTAATATTTTACCTTGAGTCTCTCGGACACTCCGTCAGTAAAGCTGATGGTGAACTCCTCCACCTTAGGAACCCTCAGTCGCTTCTTCTCTGTCTGGTACTCCGTGCGAGTTTTCACCACCACCTTAAAAAAAAAAAAAAAAAACATGTTTACTCAACTCCCACAGCCAAATAATAGATTTGACACTTAAAATACCAGAGTACAGGCTTGTGTATGATCCTTGTATGCAGGAATGTCAGAATTATAAAAAGACGAGGATTGACACACACTCACAGCTCAATGCCCAGGGTTGCTGTTGTTATATAAGAAAACTATTTCTAAAAAGCATTAGTAACAGAAGGACATTTTATTCCAAACATACTAACTTGGCTACAGATGAAACCCAATCACCTGAGAGCTCATTCTACAGTAAATGTTTTCAGTCAGCACAGTTCTGTCCTAATACTGTCAGTCTCACTATCCTAGAGCAAAACAGTTCAGACAGAAACAGAGTGAAACTCTTCAACTCTAAAAAATTTGTATAAACTTACTTACTAAGACCGAAACAACAGTTTCTTTTAGGCAATGCACCTAGATTAAAGGATTAAAATAATCATATCAGATGACCACTGTTTAATTCTTCCAGCTGTAGTGAACAGTCTTGCTCTTGTTTGCCTCTCATCATTAACCTAACGGATCGTTTTAATAACGTCTACTTTCTTTTTGTGCTATTCTCTTAAATTACCCGAGGCGGGACTTTTTCATTTGCAGGTTTTGTTTCCCCCTCTCTGCAAATGCAAAAGGAGCAGTGTTCCAGCTGTTATACATTCTCTGCAGACATAAAGCACAGAAGAGAATGTGGCAAAGAAGAAACGAATGGAAGAAGAAAGAACAATGTCTCTGTGTCCTTGTAGCTGAGCCGGAAGCTGCTGTGCACACTAACTCATTCCACTATCTAAATAACAAAGCTTTTGTTTGGCTCTAAAACGCTCTTATCGAAAAGTCGAAACCCGCAGTGGTTGAATACAGCGCGTTTCATCGGAGCCCCGAGGCGTCTAAACCCCGTGGCTCTCAGTGTAGCAACACGAGACGTCTGGCTTGTCGTTTAGTCCCAACTAACGTCTACGTTTTTAGCCTCATTTTCAAAGTCATTTCACCTTTAAATGTTCAGGGCCTCCAGGTTCAAAAACAATGCGTCACGTTGCTCCATCACTTTTTTTTCTAATTCTTTTAGTTCTTATTACCTAAATAAAGTGACTCTCAATCACCACAACCTGCTATCCACCTTCTCGACAGGTCTCAGTATTTTCTGGAAAACAATCATTTCTCAGGAATATTATTCCATCATGCTACAGCGTAACAGTCACAGAAAGTATTTTTCCCTTGCAGTTTTAATCGACGAGTGTTCATAAATGTGTCATTCAAGACGATGAGTCAGGACGATTGAGTCGTTCCTTCATTGTTGCTATTATACTACTATTAGGTGACACATTTTGTTTTGAGTTCATTATGTTTGTGAGGAGTCTCCAGTGATGACAGGATGGAGCAGGAGATAGATCGAAATATCCTGAGTAATGCTGCTCTGCTCTGTTGAGTCTTGAGCTGAAAGGCAAAGCGCTCGATTTACTTATCATGAGGTGTGGGTCATGACCGAAAGAAGAAGATCCCAAATACATGTAGCAGAAATGAGTTTCCTCTGTTGGGTGGCCAGGCTCAGATTTAAAGATAAGGTGGAGAGTTCTGTCAGTCAGGGGGAACCTGAAGTACAGGAGATGCTCTGAGGTGGTTCAGGCACCTGATTGGGATGTCTCCTGGGCACCTCCTTTCAGAAGTCTTCTGGACATGTCCCACTGGGAGGAAGACACCGGGCAGCCATTGCTAAAGGGATTACGGTATGCATCTTCTCTGACCTGGGATAGGGATATCCAGGTTTCCCTACTAAACCTGTTGCCCCCACAACCCAACAGCACAAACTGAAGAATATTTGCGTGGACTACCAGAAAATTATAGCTCCTATCTGTTAGAGACAAAGAATCATCCTGACTAATGTGACTCGTCCTTTTTATAACACCACTACCACATGCCTTTTTCTGAAAGTATAATGACATCACATAGAAAATACAGTTAATATACAAACTCTCCACAAGTTGAATGAATACAATCTTTTCAATTTGTTCTCTATAAACTTTATATAGCTGTTTTCAGGGGCTGAGCAGGGGCCGAGATGGGGTAGAGGCAGGACAACTTGGAATCCGAAAGTCCCAGGTTCGATCCCCATTCATTGCACATCTCATGATGTCTCTGAGCAGGACATGTTATCCCCAATTGCTCCCCGGCGCCTTCAATAGCTGCCCACTGCTCCACCTGAGGGCATCCCAGGTGCGATGGGTTAAATTCAGAGAGCCAATTTCACCATTGTATGGGAACATACAATGATGACAACACATAGCACTTATTATTTTCCAGATACAAAAAACTACTGCAGGGAAGTAAAAGTTTTTATGATGCATTTGAAATATTATCTGGATTTCTACAACATAAGCAGGACACGTTTGCAAGTGGGTAGTATTTTAGGTCATGTGAGTAATAAATACTTTAGCCACTTTTTTTCTCATAGAAAATGAATCGAGCTCATTTTACCTCCTTCAAATCTTTAGATCTGTTTACAACGTTTTACTGCTCCTTTCACATTTGTTCTGGTTTAGCTTCTTTCAGCTGTCTTGTGCGAACATTTTTTCTGCAATTTTCCACAAATTTCAGCTGTTCTTTCAGCTGTTTTGTGCTCCTTTCAGCTTCTTTCTGCTAACTAGAACATTTTTGTGCTTCTCCTAACTTCTTTCTGCTAATTTCAACTTATTTCTGCAAGTTTCAGCCTTTTCTACTACTTCAGCTACTATAAAGCTGTTTTATGCTCATTTAAGATTTTTCATCTAATTCCACATTTTTTTCAATAATTTCAACTTTTTTCAGCCTAGTTCAGTAAAAAATGTGCTCTCTTCACTTCCTTCTTATAATTTCAGCTTCTTTCTGCCTTTATAGCTACTTTTCAGATGTTTTTTTTTTTGTTAATTTCAGCTCTTTTTTTGATACTAGCCACTTTTTGATGCTCATTTCTGCTTCTTTCAGCAAATGTTCTGCTATTTTTGCTCATTTAAACTTGTTCCACCTTTTCAGGTACTTTTTTTAATAGCTAATTTCAGCTGTTTCCAGATAAATTCAAGTTTTCATGGTAATTTCTGCTACTTTCAACATTAACTTCTTTTTTGCTAATTTCAGCTTGTTTTGCTCCTTTCAGTTTTTTTCTGCTAGTTTCAGTTTTATCTGCTGTTTCAGCCACTATTTAGCTGTTTTTATGCAAATTTTAGCTTTTTCAGCTAATTCTACATTTTAATAGCTCATTGCAGCTCTTTCCACTTCCTTCTAGTATGTTAAGCTTTGTTCTGCTTTTTCAGCTACTTTTCGGCTGTTTCCTTGCTAATTTCAGCATTTTTTAGCTGATTTCCTAATTTTTGTGTTAATTTCTGCTCATTTAAATATAATTCAGCTAATATGTGTTCTTTTTGCTTTCTTCTGCTAATTTAGGCTTGTTCTTTCATTTCAGCTACATTTCAGAATATTTTTAGCTAATTTCAGCCTTTTAGTAGCAAGTTCTTCTGCAATAAGCATTCACACTATGTTTGCAGAAAATGCAATTTCTCTAGTTATTCTTAATATCAACTCTCTCCCTTTGCTCATTAATTGTTTGTTTTGGCTACGACTCCACCATGAAACATCCATCAATTTGTTGTCACCCATCATATTTTCTTTCACGGTACAGGTTTGATGCTTCTGAATTACACTCTACAACATTATCCTTCCATGTCTTTTCATTTCTCGCTGGGCTGCACACGATCAGTCGTCTTTTATGTCAACAAGACTGACAGACTCTCCTACAACATGAAAAGGCTGGTTAATGACGCCAGCACAGAGTCTCTGACTGTTTTTTTGAGAATCTGTTTTCGAAACTCAATAAGTAATATTTATTTTATGCAGACAACTTGAATAAATATAACCTTTTAATACCTCCACGCCCGCCTCAGAGCCGCTTACAGATCTCAAACAGAGCTGTGGCGTTTTTTTTAGATCATCATAAACTTCTGAATATATGTCTTTTAAAGACTTTGAGCACTTTATAGAAAAGGTAATTTTTGCGTCTATCGCTGTAATTTTTTTCAGGTTTGATATTCCTTTTAGAAAAGCTGCCAGATTTCTTTTTCATATAAACTTTGCCCGTCTTCCCCAGCATGTTATTTCTCAAAACTGCGACTGAGATAATTGCCGTTTCATCTATAATCCCCGGAGACTAAGCCGTGGGAGTGCAAGTCTTTGGTAAATTTCAGCATTGTTGCAGACACATTTTTTGACATCACCAATTCTTTCCTTATGAATAAAACAGTAAATTAAATTATTTTTTTAAAGGATAGAGGAGATGTATCCTTGTAGTAGTGTCACTCAGTGTTTCAACAGGCAAAGGGATAGGTTAATCAAAGATGATTAATGTTTCATCAGCTGCTCTTGTAGTGCTTGCATATTTGATTGACTGAACACAGACAGCCTTGTTACTTGATCTTTGGCATGAACCGTGCGCATCAAGACTGTTTTTCTGTTAGCAAAATATTTACTGAACCAGTGCACAAATATTACTGTAACACCGTAAAAGTAATCATTGTACATCAACAGCTCAGTAACTTTAAGAGTCAACCATTTTCAAGATGGACACCGCAGCTAATCAACCTTAGCAAACACAAAAATGGCTATACCTCAGCCAAATTCAAAGATTTTCAGCTAAGCTTGAGGTGGTAGTAGCTGATTGTCATCCTCAACACAGACATTGTGTGCTAACATGCTTTGCGAGATCTTTCAAAATATTAGTGCACAATGTAATTTATAAGGTTTGACCAAAAATTCTGTCTCATCTCATCATACAATGATCTAAATTTAAAAGTACAGCATGAAAGGTGGCAGGTAATATGCATTACTTCAAGAAATGCAAGGCTTTTAATTTGGAGGGATGACTTTGGCCCCCATAGGACTGAAAGAAACTACTAGGCATGTCACGATAACAAATTTTGCTGGGCGATTAATTGTCTCAGAAATTATTGCGA